ACTGGACCAGCATTTTGTGTGGTGATGGTTTTGTGCTGCCTCTCCCAGTTGCAAATTGAATAACTGTTCCTTAGAGGTGGATAAATCAGTCTTTCTTTTTAAGCACCATGTATATTTCAGTGCCCAAACCTGCTTATATATCTCACAAAGAAGAAAGCATATTTTATATGGAGATATTTTATACTGTATATAACTACATCATTATTTATTTTTAGTGTTTATATTAGAATCTAGTCTCCCATAACCCTTAAAGGGTGGCTCACTTTTATGTTAAATGTTATAGGTATGCACATACAGTCAAATCCCGATGAGTCTCGAATATAATGCATAACACGAAGTACCTGTCGGTCCCGACCATTCCCTGCTGTTTTTGTCATCATTTGAGTTCCGGTTACACGAATTCGTCTCATAAATACACACGATGACTCGAAATGGAAATTTGGTCCCTTGAGATTCAAACAATAGTAATCTTGTATACATAAGCCGAAGTCAGTCAATGAAAAGTTAATTGGTGATCCAACTACATGTATATTTTGTGAGGGGAGAGTGAAGTACAGAACACAGTGTCTGTCTGATAAAGACGTTTGTGTGATATGAGGGATGAAGGGATTATGGTTTGGTGTGACCTCAGATTCTCACTGAATTTGGAAACCTATTTGATTCAGCCATCATTTCAAATGAACTCTTGATTATTGTTGGAGACTTTAACATTCACGTCGACAGCTGTGATAATGTTCTAGCACAATGTTTTTTAGAACTTTTGTACAGCTTTGGATTGCCACAGCATATATCAGAACCTACACACAGAAGTGGCCACTGCCTTGATTTTGTCATCACCAAAAGTTCTGATTCGGTCATCAAAAGTTTCAGAGTTGAGGATTATGGATTATCAGTTCATAAAGGCATATTCTGTGAAGGGTTAAAGTAACCTACAGAAAGACAAGGTCAATAGATGCTGCCTCTTTCAATGAGGATATTAACAACAGCAAGCTTCATCAACTCATGGAGGATATCAACCAAGAAAGCAAAACAGAGTTGAAGACTCAACTGTATAACAGCACACTGGAGAGACTGCTACACAACCACGCCCCTCTCATGACACGCAACATCACCATCAGACCTACATCCGACTGGCGGTCTGCTGAACGTAGATGGAGATCAAGCAAACTTGAGGTAGATAGACAGATTTAGAAATCTGCCAGAAATGAAGTCAACAACCTCATCAAAAAAGCAAAACTAGACCACATTGCTAAAAAGATTGAAGAAAGTATAGGAAACAGCAGACAGTTAATCGCTCTTTCAAAGAGACTAACAAAACCACAAACATCGACTGTCATACCTTCTCAAGAGGAGTTCAGTCTACGCGCAGAGGAGTTTGCAGAATTCGTCATTACAAAAGTGAAGAACATTCGTGAAGACGTAGCTAAACGTCAGTACTGCAACAACAATCCCCTGGAACAAGACCAACCATTTCGTGGCACACAACTTGTCGTATTTGAACCAGCAGACATCAAAGAGATTACAGATATGTACTATCAAATCTGCGCCTTGTAAATCCTGTGAATTGGATCCAATATCATCTTGGCTACTCAGAAACTGTCTAGAATCATGCCAATCTCTTACATCATCAGTCATCAATTCCTCTCTCCAAGAGGGCTCAGTACCGACATCTTTAAAAAAAGCCACCATTAGACCACTACTGAAGAATAACAATCTTGATCCATGTGTACCCAAAAATTACAGACCTGTTTCCAATTTGTCTTTTCTATCAAAGGTGTTGGAGAAGGTTGTTCTCAGACGATTGAAGAGTCATATGAACTTGCATCATCTGAATGAAATTTTTCAGTCATCTTACAAGGAAAAGCACAGCACTGAAACAGCTCTTCTCAGAGTTGACATCTTGACTCATATGGACAAGCAAGAGGTTGTGCTGCTAGTACTACTAGACCTTTCAGCGGCTTTCGACACCGTGGACCACACCAATCTACTGCAGAGGTTAGAGCACACTATTGGCATCACAGGAACAGCACTACAATGGTTCCAGGCCTACTTGTCAAATAGAACAATAAGAGTCAAGGTCCATAATGCAACTTCATCCATCAGAGAAACCAACTTTGGTGTACCACAAGGCTCTGTGCTTGGTCCGATTTTGTTTTCACTGTACATTCTTCCAACAGGCAATATCATCCGAAGTCACAATATAAAATTCCATGGTTATGAAGATGATAACCAACTCTACATAGGAATTACACCAGCTAATTTTGAACACGCAAAAGATGTTATGGAGAGCTGTATCGCTGATATCAAGATATGGATGACCAACAACTTTCTTAAACTCAACGACAACAAATCTGAGTTCATGATCATTGGAACTAAGCAGCAGCTTCGCAAAATAGGCGATTGTAGTCTCACAGTTGGAGATCAGTCTATCTGCCCTGTGCCCCAGGTGAAGAATCTTGGTGTTGTTTTCCGTTCTTCAATGCCACCAGAATCACAAACCTTAACAGCAGCAAGATCAGCAACCTTTCATCTCCGCCGAATAGGAAAAATCCGCCGCTATTTGGACATTGACACAACCAAACTTTTAGTTCAGTCATACGCCATCTCACGCCTAGACTACTGTAACTCCCTTGTGTCAGGAGCAGCAGCAATCCAACATCTCCAGCTTGTACAAAACAGAGCTGTCATCAATTCACCAGCTTACCTCAAAGACATCATAGGAATTTATCATCCAACTCGTGTCTTGAGGTCTGAAAAAAGAGTCAGCCTGAAAATGCCAGCAACAAAAACATCCATGGGAGACAGGGCTTTCAGAGCTACTGCGCCAGCTTTGTGGAAGTATCTGCCAGTTGGACTGAGATCAGTATCTTCCCTGGAAACATTTAGGAGCCAACTAAAAACTCATCTCTTTCTAGCTACCTACTAGTTTCTCCACTTTCTCTGCACAGCACCACTGAGCAGCACTGGTTGGACATTAGGCGCTTAAATGCATTATTATTATTATTATTATTATTATTATTATTATCTTTTGAAAGTGATACAGATTAACAACGTGATGAATACAAATAAATGAATCTGCTTGGTGGTTCTCCTGTATTGGCTATGAGATAATGCTCTGTGCTGGATCGGGAGGTGATGGTAGCTTGGAATCCAGACTGCAAACCCACCTGATAGCCTCTAGTCACCGGGTCGTAAAACTACTTCAGACACGACCGAGTGAACGCACGGTTCTTTCCTCTGTCTTACTCGTCCTGTTTCCGACACTGTTCGGCGAGCACCGAGGTGTGTTGCTGAAGTCAGTGTTTACTTGATGTGTCAGAGAAAGTCGTATCCATAAATCTTCGCTCGAGCTAGGTAATCACGTAATATTTTCATGTGTATACTTAATATGGGTTTTTCCATGTATGTATGCTACAATTTATGTTCTAATTCTCTTCGATCAAACGAACATAAATTATTTATTTATGTACAACAAAACACTTCGCATGGGTAATGCCTACCGCAGGTCACAGGCGAGCAGGTTTATTGCGCAAAAGGAGTATACATAGAACCGACAGATTATTTAGTACGTATCCATCTCATGAAGTCTGCACCTCCAGCCATCCCTGCAAAACAAGTTCAACAGCAGAAAAGACTACTTACACATGCATAAAGTATACTACAAGTTATTACGCAATATTATCAATATTTATTTGTTTAATTTTTAAATATTTATACACGTAAATTATACGTGTAATTATGTTAATATGAGAAAACCTAAAATACTCATCTCCAATTCCTTGCATCCCGACACAATTCCCCGCTTCAGGCCAGGTCACATCTCCACGTCGCTGCATGTCATGTCAGAACACACCAGGTAGCACCGCTCCTCGCCTTACATCAGAAGCTTAGTACCTCACTGCTGATACAGATCGCAATACTGCACACATTAACCATTCGGCTTGTAATACCTCCAAACGGAATAAAGATTCAATACTGAAACTTTCCTACATAACTTCCAATACACTTGACTGAAAAAAGCTGCTCGCTGTGTAGTGCGAAGACCTCGAATGGCTAAACTCACATTCAATCTCACCACGTCACCTTCGTCACGTGGCTTCTGCACAACTCGCACGTGCAAAACACGCTCACTGCAGTAGGCAAGCTCTACCGTGTTTAACCCAAAATAAATTCATTTATGTTCTAATTCTCTTCGATCAAACGAACATAAATTATTTATTTATGTACAACAAAACACTTCGCATGGGTAATGCCTACCGCAGCTCGAAATTAAAAGACAGGGCAAAGAAACGAGAATCCTTTATTACAGCCCAGGAAAGTTACAAGCCTAACATACAAGTGACACTCAACAACTCTTTTATGTCATCTTTAACATATCCGTCTTTTGCCGTGTCGGAAACCCAGCGGCCATGTCTCTTGAACAACCGATCAGGTACACCTGCACTCGCAGCGGCTGTTGCTCCCCCAGAACGGAAACTATGCAAACCAAAACTGTTCACATCTATTCCTATTTCAGTACATTTTTCCCTGAAAATTTCTCTTGTTCTCGTGTAAGAGATTGGCTTGTTGCCTCTGAGAACATACTTCTTTTGTTTTTTACAGTAATTCACTTGTCTGAACAAGAACTCATGGGAGTCTTCTTTGATATTTGCTGACAACATATAACGGCGAAGCATATTCACTGGGCAGAGTTGGGAATCAGACGCCGCAATCACAACAAATCTACCGTCTCTATACACGTCTGTCTTACTCTTTTCTATGAAAATACGAACATATCCTTCATGAAAAGAAATATCAGAGCGCCTAATTACGGAAACTTCAGAAAATCTGAAAAAAGCCAGCATATGAAAGAATGGACATTGTCATAAATCTTAAATCTACAAGAGAAGAATCCTCTTTGCCAAATCTATCGACTAACCGTTCCAAAATACCAACATCTATGGGGTCTTTTTTCTTGACAGGGTCACTGTGACATCTCCTAGCTGCCTCTTTAATGTTCTTAATTAGGTCATGTTGACATGGATCTGGTAGACCCGCCACTCTGTGCGCCCATCTTATACCGTACACAGCTTCCATAATAACAGGAGACCTTTTACCCGACTGAAGCAATGACGTAAGGTATAAGCCTACATGAAAAGAATTTGCAGGCAAAACACTTATTTCTTTAAACCGTGAGGCCCATTTTTTCCAGCATGTAAAAGCTCTTCTATATTTTATAACTGTAGTATCTGCTTTAGATTTTAAAACTATATCAGGCATTTTCGTAGATAAGTCAACTAAATCTTGGTGCACCAGAGCATCTTTCTCTTTCCATATACCAACGGAAAACATACCTGAAAAGATATATAATCAATTGTTAAATCTGAGAGCTAACACGAACCCCTTGAAATTATTGAATATAGACTGCTTGCTCCCACCTGAGACAGCGCTGCTGCCACTCAACTGAATCATATCTGCAATGAAATTTCTGGGTTGACCTTCCAGGAACAACAAGGGCCAATATGGAGCGGATGGCCACATAGGCACCACTAAAGTAGTAGGAGCATTGCATGCTAAGATAAAATGTACAGTTTTACACACCAAATGTACAGGAGGAACTGCCCAGTTGTTCTCCCCATGCCACTGCTGAGTAAATGCATCAACTGCCTCCGTATCCGGTACCCACGATCTGGAATTAAACCTTTCTAACTTGGTATTCAAATGGTTAGCAAAACGATCTACAGAATGTGGCCCCCATCTTCCATCCAAGAATTTGAAAACATTATCTGTAACTCTCCAATCATCTGAATCTTCAAATCTACTCAGAGCATCAGCCTTTTCATTATCTGATCTGGGAATCCAGCTGAACTTTAACCTTATGTTGTACTGATTGGCAATCACAAAGATGGAGGTGGCAACTTGTTGTAGATGCTGTTTAGAACTACCACATGAAGCTACACAACAACATGGCTTACTATCAGTAAACCTTTACAGTCTTGCCACTTAGAACCCTGGTAAACGCAATGAGAACTAATTCTATGGCCTTCATTTCTCTCCACGTCGAACTACCACGTTTCTCTTGAGAGTCCCACACATGTTGAAACACATGATCAGAATCTGCAACATAACCTCCACAACCTATGTCACTTGCATCTGTGAACACAGACAGCATAGGTTGAATAACAGTAGACAACACTATTGGTTTTAGACAACGCAAGTTGTCTCTCCAAAACAGCAATTCATACACACAATGACAATTTTCTAACCTAAGAAATCTATCCCAGGAAGAAGCCTTATGGACCTCCGAATACATATGCCTTGTGAAAAGTCTACAAACATCGCCCAAAACTGGAGTAAGAGCTATAACCTTCCCTGCTAAAGCAGCTAAACTCCTTGCTGTGAACCTTGGCAAATCAGATGTGAACGCTGAAAAATTAGACACTATATCTTCTATTTTCTTGACAGGAATGGAAAGAACACTAGAATCTAAATTCCATGTGAATCCAAGCCACTCTAACTCTGCAACAGGGTGCCATACTGACTTATCAACATTAACGACAAAACCTGATTGTTCCAGAGTATCTCTAACAATGTCTGAATGAAGAGAACACAAGTCCTTCGATTTAGCATAGCCAAAGCCATCGTCAAGGTACACTACAATATAAACAGATTGCCTTCGCCAATAAGTAACTAGAGGACGAATGCACTTAGTAAAAATGTAAGGTGCAGATGTTAACCCAAACGGCAAAACTGTGAAACAGTAGTACCTAATAATGCCGTTAGCATTCCAAGCAAAACCCAAATACTGTTGTTGACTAGGATGTATATCAATGTGATGATAACCAGATTTTAAATCAAATTTAAACATAAAACCTGTATCTTGCACAAAATCCAAAGCTGTTTTATAGCCCTCAAAAACAATCTTTCTTTTGTAAACAAACTGATTGACATACCTAAGATCAAGGATAAGTCTCTTTTTGCCTGAACGCCGTGTAGCTACCGAAAGAGGATTAACAACTAAAGGGGGATTATCAAGCTCGACAATACAAGAGTTTTTTAAGAGTTCTACAATAGCCTGTACAACGAAAGTATCGTTCCTCAATGCTGATTGGTTATTTTTAGAAAAGGATGGAGGAGGACTATCAACGAATGGAATGACATAACCATCAGTAATAGTATCGATTACAAACTGAGGGGCTCCAATATTAATCCAAAAGGAAACATGCTTCTTTAAACTGCCTTTCACGATGCACGAAGTGTTGGATTCAAACTCGTAAGACCTTAGTTGAATGAATTCAGAATCTAAGTCAGTACCTCCTAAACCTGCTGAATTATCAATGTCAAAATCTGAAGCACAGGTAGCATCCCTCTGTCGTATCTTGGTTTCATGGACTGCTGGCACCTGAACATCGGAACTGCAACTTCCCGCAGAAACTCGACCTAAAACAATTTTAAAGAATCTCTCAGGAAAGATACACACTGTTCAATTGACTAAAAGGAACAACTTCAGATATTACAGAAACACAATTACCTGAAGTGAATTCTCTACTTCTTGACAACTTGGTTGGACTGTATTGAATCGGAGCTGGCTGACTGGGCTGCACGTAGTGAAGCTGCCGCAGGACAGGAGATCCTCCAGTGGCCGAAACCTCCACAGAAGTAGCACTGTTGGTTGGGAGATGGACCTCGTTTGACCATGGGACGAAAAGGCTGGTTCTGACCGGCTGTAGAGTCCCTGGAAGCATCAACCATGCTAGCAGAAGAGACAGTAGCGCTAGGTGAAACATAGCTAGGTTTTCCTCTGGACCGGAACGAGGACGCACGTCGTTTACGGAGGGCTTTATTCTCAGCTTTCTCGAATCTACGTTCTTCCTCGGACCCAGAGGCAATATCGTCTCCCTCTAGTTCAGCTACAACGGCCCAGCCAGATGGAGAACGATCCGCTAAGCGGATATACTTGTTCCTCCTCGAGATATCTGAAGAGAGATCTTGGAGAATCCCCACACAATCAGAATACTTGCTGCTCTTAATATATCTGAAAGCACTGTCAATCTTATCCAAACAACCAGTATTAAATTTATACTGAAGTTGGTTGCCTTTAAACCTAAAATTAGGAATCTCTGAATCTTTATGAGCCCTTTTGAACGCTGAGAATGACCTTTCTTCACTCTCTTCAATAATGTCACGTTTAAATGTCTTTAGTTTGCAGTCCATATAATCTTTAAATAATTGAAATGTTTCATAACCTTCAATGGGTTCCTGCTGCTTATTCTTGTTAGGTGTATGAGAATCCTCCGAATGGTGTGAAGGGGAAACCGAATGGCGACTCATAGCAGAATGTTGACTGAAAAAAGCTGCTCGCTGTGTAGTGCGAAGACCTCGAATGGCTAAACTCACATTCAATCTCACCACGTCACCTTCGTCACGTGGCTTCTGCACAACTCGCACGTGCAAAACACGCTCACTGCAGTAGGCAAGCTCTACCGTGTTTAACCCAAAATAAATTCATTGAACGCACGGTTCTTTCCTCTGTCTTACTCGTCTGTTTCCGACACCGTTCGGCGAGCACCGAGGTGTGTTGCTGAAGTCAATGTTTACTTGATGTGTCAGAGAAAGTCGTATCCGCAAATCTTCGATCCAGTTAGGTAATCACGTAATATTTTCATGTGTATACTTAATGTGGGTTTTTCCATGTATGCATGCTACCATATACACGTATTGGAGTGGTTTTGTAACTTCGGTAGATAATTCACGTGTACTTTATCATTTTATTATTTTTGCCTTCTTAATAATTGTACATATGTGAATTTAGATAAAATGATCGTCCAGCGGTTTATTTAACCAAGCGACCATTAGTTTACTTGTGAGGAAGAACGTGACCAGCGGTAAAGTAAAGGGTCGTTACAAGACCTGGAAGACCGAGGAAGATAGATTCCCCTGGCATGGCACTATCCCGTGACCCATGCCGAAGAACTGGAGAGTGGTTGTCCCGTTTAACAAGGTTTTAATTTCAACTAGGGAATCAGCGTGTAACAGTTGATTTAGGCTTGGTAAGGAGATGAAAAACAGCTGGTTGTATACTAGGGGTATTATGGAGAGTATAGGAGGGTTTGTTTTTTACTTATTATGTTCTAATTCTCTTCGATCAAACGAACATAAATTATTTATTTATGTACAACAAAACACTTCACATGGGTAATGCCTACCGCAGGTCACAGGCGAGCAGGTTTATTGCGCAAAAGGAGTATACATAGAACCGACAGATTATTTAGTACGTATCCATCTCATGAAGTCTGCACCTCCAGCCATCCCTGCAAAACAAGTTCAACAGCAGAAAAGACTACTTACACATGCATAAAGTATACTAGAAGTTATTACGCACAGTATCAATATTTATTTGTTTAATTTTTAAATATTTATAAGCATGTAAACCATACGTGTAATTATGTTAATATGAGAAAACCTAAAATACTCATCTCCAATTCTCTTGCATCCCGATTACAATTCCCCGCTTCAGGCCAGGTCACATCTCCAGGTCGCTGCATGTCATGTCAGAACACACCAGGTAGCATTCGCTCCTCGCCTTACATCAGAAGCTTAGTACCTCACTGCTGATACAGATCGCAATACTGCGCACACATTAACCATTCGGTTTGTAATATCTCCAAACGGAATAAAGATTCAATACTGAAACTTTCCTACATAACTTCCAATACACTTGACTGAAAAGCTGCTCGCTGTGTAGCGCGAAGACCTCGAATGGCTAAACTCACATTCAATCTCACCACGTCACCTTCGTCACGTGGCTTCTGCACAACTCGCACGTGCAAAACACGCTCACTGCAGTAGTAGTAAGCTCTATCTGTTTAACCTAAAATAAATTCATTTATGTTCTAATTTCTTCGATCAAACGAACATAAATTATTTATTTATGTACAACAAAACACTTCACATGGGTAATGCCTACCGCAGCTCTAGGAAATAAAAAAGACATGGGCAAAGAAACGAGAATCATTTATAACAGCCCAGGAAAGTTACAGTTTCCTAAACATACAAGTGACACTCAACAACTCTTTTATGTCATCTTTAACATATCCGTCTTTGCCGTGTCGGAAACCCAGCGGCCATGTCTCTTGAACAACCGATCAGGTACACCTGCACTTGCAGCGGCTGTTGCTCCCAGAACGAAAAACTATGCAAAACCAAAACTGTTCACATCTATCCCTATTTCAGCATTTTTCCCTGAAAATTTTCTCTTGTTCTCGTGTAAGAGATTGGCTTGTTGCCTCTGGAGAACATACTTCTTTGTTTTACAGTAATTCACTTGTCTGAACAAGAACTCATGGGAGTCTTTGATATTTGCTGACAACATATAACGGCGAAGCACATTCACTGGGCAGAGTTGGGAATCAGACGCCGCAATCACAACAAATCTACCAGTCTCTATACATCGTCTGTCTTACTCTCTTTCTATGAAAATACGAACATATCCTTCATGAAAAGAAATATCAGAGCGCCTGCACTACGGAAACTTCAGAAAATCTGAAAAAAGCCAGCATATGAAAGAATCGACATTGTCATAAATCTTAAATCTACAAGAGAAGCCAATCTTTCTTTGCCACAAATCTATCGACTAACCAAGTTCCAAAATACCAACATCTATGGGGTCTTTTTTTTGCTTGACAGGGTCACTCGTGACATCTCCTAGCTGCCTCTTTAATGTTCTTAATTAGGTCATGTTGACATGGATCTGGTAGACCCGCCACTTTGTGCGCTCCATCTTATACTCGTTACAGCTTCCATAATAACAGGGTAATCTTTAATCCGACTGAAGCAATGATGTGACGTATATTTCCCACATGAAAAGAATTTGCAGGCAAAACACTTACTTCTTTAAAACCGTGAGGCTCACTTTTTTCCAGCATGTAAAAGCTCTTTCTATATTTTATAACTGTAGTATCTGCTTTAGATTTTAAAACTATATCAGGCATTTTCGTGTAGATAAGTCAACTAAATCTTTGGTGCACCAGAGCATCTTTTCTTTCCATATACCAACGGAAAACATACCTGAAAAGATATATAATCAATTGTTAAATCTGAGAGCTAACACGAACCCCTTGAAATTATTGAATATAGACTGCTTGCCTCCCACCTGAGACACAAGCGCTGCTGCCAATTAAACCGAATCCTTCATATCTGCAATGAAATTTCTGGGCTGACCTTCCAGGGACAACAACAAGGGCCAATATGGAGCGGATGGCCAATAGGCAAAACTACCAGTAGTAGGAGCATTGCATGCTAAGATAAATGTACAGTTTACACACCAAATGCAAGCAGGAGGAACTGCCCAGTTGTTCTCCCCATGCCACTGCTGAGTAAATGCATCGACTGCCTCCGTATCCGGTACCCATGATCTTGAATTAAACCTTTCTAACTTGGTATTCAAAATGGTTAGCAAAACGATCTACAGAATGTTGCCCCCATCTTCCGTCCAAGAATTTGAAAAACATTATCTGTAACTCTCCAATCATCTGAATCTTCAAATCTACTCAGAGCATCAGCCTTTTCATTATCTGATCTGGGAATCCAGCTGAACGTTAACCTTATGTTGTACTGATTGGTTATCACAAAGATGGAGGTGGCAACTTGTTGTAGATGCTGTTTAGAACTACCACATGAAGCTATTACTTGCAACAACATGGCTTACTATCAGTAAACCACTTTTTACAAGTCTTGCCACTTAGAACCCTGGTAAAACGCAATGAGAATCCAATTCTATGGCCTTCTCATTTCTCTCCACGTCGAACTACCACGTTTCTCTTGAGAGTCCCACACATGTTGAAACACATGATCAGAATCTGCAACATAACCTCCACAACCTATGTCACTTGCATCTGTGAACACAGACAGCATAGGTTGAATAACAGTAGACAACACTTTGGTTTTAGACAACGCAGGTTGTCTCTCCAAAACAGCAATTCATACACACAATGACAATTTTCTAACCTTAAGAAATCTATCCCAGGAAGAAGCCTTATGGACCTCCGAATACATATGCCTTGTGAAAAGTCTACAAACATCGCCCAAAACTGGAGTAAGAGCTATAACCTTCCCTGCTAAAGCAGCTAAACTCCTTGCTGTGAACCTTGGCAAATCAGATGTGAATGCTGAAAAATTAGACACTATATCTTCTATTTTCTTGACAGGAATGGAAAGAACACTAGAATCTAAATTCCATGTGAATCCAAGCCACTCTAACTTCCGCAACAGGGCGCCATACTGACTTATCAACATTAACGACAAAACCTGATTGTTCCAGAGTATCTCTAACAATGTCTGAATCAAGAGAACACAAGTCCTTCGATTTAGCATAGCCAAAGCCATCGTCAAGGTACACTACAATATAAAATCAGATTGCCTTCGCCAATAAGTAACTAGAGGACGAATGCACTTAGTAAAATGTAAGGTGCAGATGTTAACCTAAACGGCAAACTGTGAAACAGTAGTACCTAATAATGCCGTTAGCATTCCAAGCAAAACCCAAATACTGTTGTTGACTAGGATGTATATCAATGTGATGATAACCAGATTTTAAATCAAATTTAAACATTAAACCTGTATCTTGCACAAAATCCAAAGCTGTTTTATAGCCCCTCAAAAACAATCTTTTCTTTGTAAACAAACTGATTGACATACCTAAGATCAAGGATAAGTCTCTTTTGCCTGAACGCCGTGTAGCTACCGAAAGAGGATTAACAACTAAAGGGGATTATCAAGCTCGACAATACAAGAGTTTTTAAGAGTTCTTCAATATCCTGTACAACGAAAGTATCGTTCCTCAATGTTGATTTTGGTTATTTTGTGAAAAGGATGGAGGAGGACTATCAAACGAATGGAAATGACATAACCATCAGTAATAGTATCGATTACAAACTGAGGGGCTCCAATATTAATCCAAAAGGAAACATGCTTCTTTAAACTGCCTTTCACGATGCACGGGGGGTTGATTCAAACCGTAAGACCTTAGTTGAATGAATTCAGAATCTAAGTCAGTACCTCCTAAACCTGCTGAATTATCAATGTCAAAAATCTGAAGCACAGGTAGCATCCCTCTGTCGTATCTTGGTTTCATGGACTGCTGGCACCTGAACATCGGAACTGCAACTTCCCGCAGAAACTCGACCTAAAACAATTTTAAAGAATCTCTCAGGAAAGATACACACTGTTCAATTGACTAAAAGGAACAACTTCAGATATTACAGAAACACAATTACCTGAAGTGAATTCTACTTCTTGGACAACTTGGTTGGACTGTATTGAATCGGAGCTGGCTGACTGGGTTGCATCGTAGTAAAGCTGCCGCAGGACAGGAGATCCTCCAGTGGCCGAAACCTCCACAGAAGTAGCACTGTTGGTTGGGAGATGGACCTCGTTTGACCATGGGACGAAAAAGGCTGGTTCTGACCGGCTGTAGAGTCCCTA